TTAATTTCAATATATTTGATATTTTTTCCCATAATCTTTTTGAATCCGAACATTCTAAAATTAAATATTCAATATATTCTACTTGTCCACAGCTTGTACAATTTTTCCCCACCTCTTTATTCCATTTATTTACATTATAATTACAATTCAGCTGGTTATGTAAAAGTTTAATATTGAATTCTGCTATCTGTTTATCGAACACATTTAATATTTTAGCTGTATAAATATTTTTCCATTGACCATTTGTTATATTGAATTCTTTTGACCACTTCGTTTCCATTATTGGCCTTTGCTTCTGTTTAGAAAGTAGAATTTTATAATAAAATCCTGATTTTTCAAATTAGGGGTTTCTACTTTTTCCTTGAAAATAAAAATAGGGTTTTTGTATATTAGTGTTCAGCACGGGGAGCGAAAGCAATTTTTCAAACCTACTGAAACTTCGTTTCATATATCATACCCTATTATCTTGTTAGGTGTTTATTATTTATGTGAAGTATTACTGTTTTATCGTAACTGTTTAGATAAGTGACTAAATTATTTCAAATTTGCTATTTCAATGTAAATCTAAACATTTTCCAATGTGCGTAACTTGGTAAAGTCTCTCCACTTCTGGTCAGTCTACCAAATCGTGGACATTTTAACCATAAATGTTTCGTACACATGATTCCTGCAGGTCGCACGCCAAGTACGCCCATCTTCTTTAACAATACTTAAAATACTTCTAAAGAGAAAAAATGATTATTTTCTTCTAAATAACCTTCCTTTACAAAATAAAGTTCCTGACTTAATGCTTTTGGTATCGAACTTAATCATGGGGTTTTAACTGGATATAATTTAATTGGCATTGTAGAATCCAAATTTATTGTAAGAACTAAAACAATATGCAGAATTTTTGAAATATAGTTCAAGACAAAAATCTGCTCAAAAGCTCAGGAGCAAACCTCTTTAAAGAGTATTTACTTGTATTTACATAGGACTGCACCTTCTTAATTCTGTACTTCTAGTGAAAACCATCATTGCAGAAATAATATATGTTTATCAATGAAGGGCAAGTTGGACTTCGATGACCTCTGGAAAGTTGTTTTCCCTGTTTATTTTGTCCAAATGTTAAGATTTGAAACCGAAAGTACATTGCAAATGGCCGATTTTATAGGGGTCTTGTCTTTATACATGTCATGCTTTCAATAGCAGCCTTTAAGAGACCATTCACGTCTAACTTGCCCTTCATTGATAAACACATATTATTTCTGCAGTGATGGTTTTCACTAAAAGCACAGAATTAAGCAGGTGCATTTTTTTTTAAATGTGCAATTTTTTTTGCATTTTTTTTTCTCTAAAAATATTTTTTTTTTTTTAATATTTATTTTCAAGTGATACTTTCTATCTGTTAATCAATGATATATTTATAAACTGTAAAAGTTTTAACTTTATATCTCACATAGTTTTGGAGCTATTGTAAAAATAAATTTTTAGACATCTTGACCTTTGACAAAACCTTAAACCACATTGACAAGTTAGATTGATCACTGAACCGTGGCGGAAGAAAATTTCATGTTCACAATTTCACTGACTTGGCTACGCTACAGGGTACACTGCTTTATAGCGTATTCATTACACTAAAAAAAGACAAATCATGTAGAGTATAGATTAAGGAACAGTTTTTTTTTTAAACATAAAACAGCAAGTCATCCTACTATATATGTAATATAGCTGACACATGCTAAACTAGGGGTGAGGGAGGGTGTCACATTAGTAATTAAACTATAATAATTTTCAAATATCATCTTATATGTTAACAAGAGGCCCAAGGGCCTTAACGGTCACCGGAGTATAATACAATAATTTAAAGGATGCTTAGAGTATAATATGAACTGAAAGGTGAAGCTTTGTTGCCCAAAAGAAAAAAAAAATAGGGTGATCATGATCAACAAAATAATTGGTCTTAATATTCATTAACAGTTCATAAATTAGGTTCTAATATGTTCCCCATTATCACTATCACCATACGGTATATTAACAAATTATCAATGCTTCTCTACTATTTTAATCCCTTGTTGAAATCTCTTACATTGGCCTCTCTTGGTCTTTGATGAACATTTAATAAGACAAGTTATTTTTGTCTCATTTTTATTTATCTACTACTTACAAGTCTATCAGATCATTAAAACAATGAAAGTACTTTCTGTATTATACAATAAAAGTTTTTGCATAATTCTCTTATTCTATTTACCTTTCAAGTACATTATTTACAGTGATAAATTATCAAAAGTAAATGGCAAAGGGGAATAACTCCTCTCAGTAGAATACAAACTAATACAGCCCTGGCCAGGACCAGAACACTTGACCAAATGGTCCAGATGTTCAAAAATCTGGTAAAAATTCCCTTCCTTATAAAATTTTTTACTCTATTTACCTCAGATATGCCCAGGTGCGGAGAAGATTTTCAAAGAAATAATGCATTTTAACTACAGATTCACTATATTATCCCCCCCCCCCCCGAAACACCAGACCTTCTGACCCTGGGACCATAAGTTTGCTCATCATTGCTAATCACTTTGTTTATCTGCTTAACACTAAGGAGCAAACAGGATTATTTAATAGAATTAATGCATTTTCACTATATTATCAAGAGCCCCACTCTCACACCAGCACATCTGACCCAGGGGTCATGAAATTCACTACTCTGAAAGAAGCACTCTTGCTCATCATAACTATACACTTAGCTTCTTGACTTTTTTAACCAGAAGCAGAAAAGAATATTTTCAAAGAAATTTTGCTTTTTCACGTTATAATCAATAGAAGCTCCCCCCCCCCCCCCCCTTCTCACCAGAATCCTTAAACCTGGGGTCATAAAATTCACAATTTTGGAAGAGGCATCCTTGCATATCATAACAATGTACTTAGTCTGTTTAAACAATACCCAGGGGCAGAGAAAAAGATTTTCAAAGAAATAATTCACCTTGACTATAGGATCTATATAGCCCCGCCCTAGCACCAGAACTCCTGTCCCCGGGGTCATGAATTTCCCAATTTTGGAAGAGACATCCTTGCTTATCATAACAATGTACTTAGTTTGTTTAAATAATGCCCAGGTGCAGCGAAAAAGATTTTTAAAGAATTAAACATTTTCACTTTATAATCAATAGAGCCCCACCCTAACACCAGAACCCCTGATCCAGGGGCCACGAATTTCACAATTTTGGAAGAGGCATCCTTGATTATCATAACTATGTATTTAATGTGTTTCAATAATACACAGGAGTAGAGAAGAAGATTTTCAAAGAATTAATGTATTTTCACTATATAATCAATAGAGCCCCGCCCTAACACCAGAACCCCTCCCCCTGGGGCCATGAAATTCACAATATTGAAAGGGGCACTCTTGCTCATCATAACTATGTTCTTAGTTTTTCTAATACCCAGGAGCAGAGGAGAAGATTTTCAATGAATTAATGCATTTTCACTATATAATCAATAGAGCCCCGCCCTAATACCAGAACCCCTGCCCCTGGGGCCATGAAATTCACAATTTTGAAATGGGCACTCTTGCTCATCATAACTATGTACTTAGTTACTGAATTTAATACCCAGGAGCAGAGAAGAAGATTTTCAAAGAATTAATGCATTTTCACTATATAATCAATAAAGCCCCGCCCTTACACAAGAACACCTGCCCCTGGGGCCATGAATTTCACAATTTTGGAAGAGGCACTCTTACTCATCATAACTATATACTTAGTTAGTTTATTTTAATACCCAGGAGCAGAGAAGAAGATTTTCAAAGAATTAATGCATTTTCACTAATCAATAGAGCCCCGCCCTAACACCAGAATCCCAGACCCTGGGGCCATGAATTTCACAATTTTGGAAGAGGCACTCTTACTCATCATAACTATATACTTAATTAGTTTTTTTAATACCCAGGAGCAGAGAAGAAGATTTTCAAAGAAATAATGCACTTTCACTTTATGATCTACATAGCCCCGCCCTAGCACCAGAACCCCTGACCCTGGGGCCATGAATTTCACAATTTTGGTAGAGGACTCAATGCTCATTACAATGATGCCAACAGTTTGATTGCTTGATGTCCAGGAGTAAAGAAGAAGAATTTAAAGATTGCATTAATTTTGGTGGTTTTAGCCCCACCCCACCCCTCAGGCCCCAGGGGGGCAGGGACCATGAAATTCACAATTTTTGTTCCCCTTCACCCATAGATGCTATATGCCAAATTTGGTTGAAATTGGTTGAGCGGTTTCAGAGAAGAAGCTAAAAATGTTCAAACATCGCACGACGCACGCCGACGGACAAAAACGGATAGCAATAGGTCACCTGAGTGACTTAGGTGACCTGAAAAAAAAAAACTGACAATGGAGATAAAAATTTTGCCACTACTAATATCGCACTACTTAAATGCAGTTCTCAACATTCACTGGAAATTTTTTTTTAGAGTGACACCCCCCCCCCCCCACCCACATACTTAAAACTGGTTCAAAATATTCTCCAGACATTTAACGGTACCCCAAAACAGTGCATCAGTAATGACAGTATTATTAATTATGTTCAGTGCTCGTACGTTGGGACTTAAAACCGATTTCTCGGATTGTTAAAGCAGTAGATTGAGTTTGACGAAAGATTTTCATTATTTGCAAGTGTGATGTGCCCTTTTGGTTGCACTGTTCGAAAGTTAAGACCTCGAAAGACTGACACAGAATGAATATGGTTGTAGGGAATTTATTTTACGGAGTTTCAGAGGAGAATACAAGTTGATGTTACCGACCTAGAAAAAATCAAGATGGCAGCCGATGTTTACCTTGTATGTTATTAGGTATTGGGTTATTTTTTATATAAGAAAAAATTGTAACGTTAAGTGCCTGTGGTTTGTTTGTGTTATTAATCCTTTAGGCAAAAAAGAAAATATACAAGTCCACTAACGTTGATACAAAAGGTCGGAAAAGGTTCGCAATACATCCCCTGTGAAACTCGAGTAACTTAAAATATCACTACATTTTCTCGAAAATAACATCAAACACGAAAACATCAATATAATTCCAGTCTGATAACCGATCTCTTAAATGTTCAAAATACATGTTACAGATTTCACCAGCTTCCTTGTCATTTCTGGTTTTACGGAGTCCCGCCATTAAGCTGCAAAACATCCATAACCTCAGACCGGCAACTAGATCTTCTGAAATAAAAACCAGCGACCCAAGGCCTAGAATCCTCTTCTGATAAATTGTACAACGCTATCATTTCTATTCATAGCCCCATACTTTTGAAATATTCATATAAAGCCTTAAAATTTCAAAAGTAGGTCACAGTGACGAAATTTTGGGATTGTACGACCTATCATTTCTTTTCTAAGCCACGTATAATTTGGCATATTTAGTTACTTTTTATAAAACAAACTCCGAGGACCCAAGATACTTCAACTGACGAGGTTTTATGACTTTAAGCCAATTACTATCTGAAATATTTAAATATAGCCATGGAATTCCAAAAATAAGTCACGTGACCTGATTTTGGTTGAAATACTACAAAGACCCAAGATGCATGACGTGACAAAGTTTGATTATTCTAAAACTTTTATTATCCGAAATATTTTGATATAGCTGTGAAATTCAAGAATAAGGTCACCCTGACCTCCGTCTTCGTGACAATACTCCGAGATCCCAAGATGCACTAATTGGCAAAGCTTTATGTTTCATAACCTCTTATTACTTGAAATATTAAGATATTGCCTTAAAATTCCAATAATAGGTTACCGTGACCTACATTTTTTTTTATTTGACACACTCCGAGGACCAAAGATGTATCAACTGACACAGTTTGATGAATCTAAGCCAATAAGTGTCTCAAATACTTAATTATAGCCATAGAGTCGCCCCCGTGGCGCAGTGGTTAGAGCGTCTACTCTAGAGTCGCGAAGTAAGGAGTTGATCCTTACCTCGCGGGTTGAATCCCACTGTTGGACATGGAGACCGGTCCTTCAGATGAGACCGTATAAACCGAGGTCCCGTGTCGCAGTAGGTGCCTGTACAAAAAGATCCCTCACTATTCAATGGCCCCGAGTGCCGAGTATAGGTAAAAAATTTGCAGCTCTCCATCGGCAAGTGGTGGCGTCTCCATATGAGTGAAAAATTCTCGAGAGGGACGTTAAACAATAATCAAACAAACGTATAGCCATGGAATTTCTTAAGTAGGTCACCGTCACTGTAGCTCAGTCGGTAGAGCGCTTGCTCCGTAATTGGAATTAAGGTCGTGTGTTCGAATCACTGTCGCGACTGATCTAAATCGATAAAAAATAGGCAGCAACTATTCCTTCCCAAAGCGCATAGCACTTTGAAGTGAAAATTGCAGGTCCTTCAGATAAGACCTTAAAAACCGAGGCCTTGTGTCACAGTAGGCGTTGCCACGATAAAGAACCCTCACTGCTCAATGGCCATCAGTGCCGAGTAAAGGTCCAAGTTTGAAGCCCTTCACTGGTATATGGTGGCATGTACGAGTGAAAAATTCTCAAACGGGACGTAAAACAACATACAATTACATGTATGAGTGAAAATTTCTCAAACGGGACGTAAAACAACATACAATCAATCAACAATCTGTAGGAGTCACCGTGACCAAAGATTTTAGTTGACTTACTCCGAGGACGAAAGATGCATCAACCGATAAAGTTTGATGATTCTAAGCCTCTTATTAATTGAGATATTTAGATATTGCGTTAAAACTTAAAAGTAGGTCACCATAACATACATTTTACTTGACACAATGTAAGGTTCCAAATCTATCAAGTGACGGATTTTGATAAATCTTAGCCAATTAGTATCTGAAATATTAAGATATAGCCATGGAATTCCAAAAGTAGGTCACAGTGACCTACTTTTAAGTTGACAAGCTCCAGCGACCAAAGATGCATCGAGTAACCATTTATGATGATATGAAGACTCTAATTATTTGAAATATTGAGATATTGCCTTAAAATTCCAAAAAAGGACACCATGACCTACTCTTTGGTTGACACACTTCGAAGACCACAGCTGCATTAACTAAGTTTGATGATTCATAGCCAATTACTAGTATTCCGTGATATATTTAAATATAGCCTAAAAAATAGGTCACTGATGTACTTTATGGTTGATATACTTCGAGGCCTTACGATGCATCAACTGACAAGGTTTATTGATCCAAGACTTCACAGTGTTCAAAATATGCATCTAAAACAATTTGAAAATAGTGGCGCAGTGGTTAAAGCGTTTGCTCTAGAGTCGCGGAGTAAGGAGTTGATCCTTACGTCGCGGTTCGAATCCAACTGTGGGAGGAGGAGACCGGTCCTTCGGTTGAGACCGTATAAAGCGAGGTCCCGTGTCGCAGTAGGTGCTGGCACGAAAAAAGATCTCTCACTGCTCAATGGCCATGATTGCCTAGTATAGGTCAAAATTTGCAGCTATCTAACGGCAAGTGTTGGCGTCTCAATATGAGTGAAAAATTCTCGAGAGGGACGTTTAACAACAATAAACAAACAATTTGAAAATAAATTCCTGCGAAATTTAAAAAGTAGGTCACTGTGTCCTACTCTTTGATAAATATGTTTCAAGGCCCCAAGAAGCATCAATTGATAAGGTTTAAGAATCTAAACCTCTCAGTATCCAAAATAATGACCCTAAAAGTCTTAAAATGATTAGCCGTAAATTTCAAGAAGTAGTCAAGGTGACCCAAGTTTTGGTTGACACACATCAAGGCCAGATGTCAGAAGCATACACTGACAAGTTTTGATTATAATAGGCTTCAAAGTGTCCAAAATATGCATCAAAATATAATTTAATTCATAAAGTAGATCACCGTGACCTACCTTTTTAGTCAACAAGACACAAGGACCTAAGATGCATCAACTAACAAGATTTGAGGGTCTTAGTCTTTATAGATGTCAAAATATCAAAGTTTCAACAAAACGGAATTTTAGATAAACTTTTAACTGACCTTTAGACCACGTCCTTTGCCTCAGGGTGATTCCTTGAACAAATTTAAATCTAAAACACATCCTTGTTTGGTGAAAATCTGCCAAGTGGTTCTTGAGAAAATTTTTTAGTTAGCACTTTTGTTTTTATTTCCCTTATTATCTCCCCTTGTTTACGGGTCACATTTCTTTTAAAATTAATGAAAGCCCTTGGGCCAAGGATACTCTGTGACAAATTTGAAAAAAAAAATTGACCAAAGGGTTCCTGAGATATGACCCATATTCCAAAATTTACGCACACGTACAAATGGCCATGGCAATAGCTCTTTTTGCTCTTGGCTACATGATTATGATTATTTCAATTATTATCAGGAAAATTAATATTGGGTTGAATTTATAATTATCGCAATTTATAAAGGTTTTGGTACATATTTGAGCAACGCGCAAAGTTGTCAAAAACACCTGTGATGTATTACAGTATGCAATATAACAAAATTTTCACAATCACACTCCTTTGCTGAAAAAAAAATCAAATATTTTACTAGTACTTCGTTGCATTTAATGATTTCATGACACAAAGATACAGACAGGGGAAAATATACTTATTTCGTTGAAAAAACTACTCAATTTTGGAAGAAGAAAAACCTTGTTCAATCATAAAATTGTAATCAGTTTTGCAATATCATTTCTTGTGAATATTTATTTGTCCATAATCAAATCAAGTAGGTAAGTTCAAAACTCAATTATTATATTATTATTATTATTATTATATCAGAAGAGGCATGCATAACATCCTCTGTTCAAAATATATTTTCATCATGTACGATATCCTTTTTATTGTGCCGTACAAGTTCACACGTCCTAGTTGAGCTTAAAACATAAGTAAATGTAACCTATGCTTACTATTTTCACAGGACCTTACAGGTCTTTTCCGCAGTTCTAGAAGTTGAATGCCAATCTGTTGTCCAATGTCGTCAAACGGTGCCCTGAGTCCAGTCTCTGTTCTGTAGGGGTACATTGGTATGGTTGTGTTTGACAATTCTTCCTGTTATAACAAGTTCAGACTTTTTTGATTTACAAATTTATACATAGTTTTGTAGTGACCGCATACAGGATGATACATAGGTAGTAAATATCGTAAATGGCTCGGCGACCGGGTTCGAGATGACGTCTGGTATCATCCCGTACCACGTCACTACAAAAATCCGCAATAATTTTACCCCATCTATGACAATTATAATTTGAGGTATCTATGCTTTGTAAAATTGTTTCTCCCCGCTAATTGTTTCATCTCTCCCATGCAGTGCCTAGTGACTATTGACAATTAGAAAGACAAAAACTTTTCAAAAAGCTTGCCTGACTAAATGAATCAATATCTATGGAACGTATAAGCAAGGGAGGAACTGCTAAACGTTTCCGTCATCAAGGAACGACATAGTTGCGATACTTCTTTACTCAAGATTTACAATTGGCTTTCTCAAATGCCATAACCAAATATTACAGATTAACGAATGCTTCAATGGTGCTCTGGGACGCAAAGTAAATGGCCGGTACACTTTATAGACTGCAAGAAAATTTGCTTTACAAAACAAGTAAAGATAATGTAAATTTAATATTTACAATGGCCTTTAATTGGCTTTTCTGAAAAAAAAAATCATATTGAACTTTTTTCCTAGCCAAATGCATTAAGTATTGAAATAATTCATTCATTTTCAAGATATCACCAGGGTGGCAGCATCATTCAGTTTGCTGAGTTAATATTTACAATGCCTTTAATTGGCTTTTCTGAAAAAAAAAATAATGTTGAATTTTTTTCCTAGCCAAATAATTAAGTATTGAAATAATTCATTCATTTTCAAGATATCACCAGGGTGGCAGCATTATTCAATTAGCTGAGTGCTTCTAGAGTTTATGTGTAAAAGCTTATGCAAAAGTTTTTTTTTTCTTTTAGTTTACGATTCCGCCGACTCTAATTTTCACCAATCATGAAATAAAAATAATGAATGTCCCGATATCTTTCTTCGGATTTTTCTCAGCTGAACGGTTTTAACAGTTAGAATAGATCTAAGTCAAATGAGCGCTTTTCACTATATGAGACCTTTACAAACATTTAGATGACCGTAAATAAACACATGTGCAAGCCCAAAATGGCGGTAACTGTCATAATTACAGGATAATTTCTCACTAAAAGCAATGACACACATTTCGACGACCCAATGCCTTTTTTTGAAACAGAAAATGGTAAACAAAAAAAAAAAGATAAACAAATAAATAAATAAAACCTGTGGCCTTATTATACTGTATATAATCCATTGAGTGCATGTCCTTGTATTGGGACCCTTACATTTCCCTCCTTTGTATCTGCATACAAATATACGACAGTATCGGTAAACTAGGAAATGTACGGAAAGTATATGAAAAATATTTAAAACAAGACATCGCATTAAAGTAAATAGCCTCTTAAATATCTGCAAATAATATTTTATTTAAGAAATGAATTTAATAGCTACCTAATTTATACGGTATAAAGTGGGTTGGGGCAGTTTACGCTTTATAAACCGCGAAGCGGTCTATAAAAAAGCGTAAACTGTTCCAACCCACTTTATACCGTATAAATTGGGTAGCTATTAATTTCATTCCTCTTGATTTAATTTTCATTCCTTTAGTTAAAGAAATAAAAAATGATTGCTCTTAAAAAATGACTTCAAATTGTACAAAATTTAAATGTAACGTCAGGCGGATACGTTTTTGACGCAAGTCATTGTGACGTAGGCAACCCAATTTATACGACATTAAGTGAAATTTTAATCCAATCAAATGATGCGTTACAACCAGAATTAATTTTTTTAATTTTAAATTATTTTTTTTCCTTGTGAAAATATGACTTGATCCGCCTCTCATTGCATGCAATTTTAGGGAATGACGTCACATCGACAAGTTTATCGCTATCAGTGACTTCTATATGGGGCCTAAAATTAAAAAAAAATGTTGGTATGCATTTGCCTACCGACCCACCTAAAATGCACCTGATCCAAACTTTTTTCCAGCCATTTTTGAGATTTTTTTGGTAACGTTCAAGTTTTCAGGATATTGAAACTGTTTCATTTTCTATTTTTGATATGTGTTTTATCAATTTGTGGCTTATAATAAGTGGAGCTTATTTAAGATTAGTAACCCTATGAAAATCTCTATGATTTGTTACCCAACCAAAACCGGAAAACAAAAATCTTCCCCCCCCCCCAATACCTACATGTACCCACTCTTAATATTATAGGTCGGTAACTGCAAACAAGAATTTTTTTAAGCGTAGCCTGGGATTTAACCAACAACAAAACTGCTAATGCTCTACTACATGTTAAGAATTTTTAGTTTTCCATGATGTCACAGTCAACTTCTAGGTTCCGCCTTGAAATTGTAGTCTTAAATGTGCTGCGTAATAAATCAAGAGGCCTTGGTAATTAATTGTCACTACTTAGTGCGGTTTCAAAAGCGAATCCAGGAATTTTTCAAAAAAGGGGGGACGAGGGGGTTTCCAAAAATTCCTGTAATGTTATTACATGGGGACTGTTATAATATTTTCAATGACAACATTTTACCAAAATCATTACCATCAATAAGTACAACATTATAACACTTTATATAAGAATTTCCCACGATAAAAGTCCAGGCTTGTTGACCACATAGCCCGCTGCTTTTTCAATTAGAATTTACTTATCCTGTCGTCGCCCGCGTGGCACAGTGGTTAGAGCGTCTGCTCTAGAGTTGCGAAGTAAGGAGTTAATCCTTACGTCGCGGGTTCGAATCCCACTATGGGACGTGGAGTCCAGTCCTTCGGATGAGACTGTATAAGCCGAGGTCCCGTGTCGCATTAGGTGCTGACACGAAAAAGATCCCTCACTCCTCAATGGCCCTGATTGCAGAGTATAGGTCAAAATTTGCAGCTCGCCACAGGCAAGTAGTTTACGTCAAGCGGTGGTGAAGATAACGATTAGTAATCATGCTCAAAAGTCAAGCAATGAAAATATATAAATTGTGAACAGAGCACAAACAGGCCTCAGAAATAGACTACGCACTTTTTTGAATGATCGCGTACATAAATTAAGTCACATTTTTCAGTTTTCGTGGAACAATACTCTAACAGCGTTAGTATCTAATATTTTTATGATTACACCAAATGACTAGTCTAAATGAAATGTGAAGAGGTTACAGGATTATTATTTACTATATGTTACTATGTATGATAATTTGCGCATGCGTCATCTCATTCATTCATGGTTTGAAAGTTCATGATCTCGGATGTCTTACGGTGAGTATGGGATGTGTATGGTTGTGTTTGACTGGTTTTTCCAGTCATTGCGCATGGCTGGCGCGAATTTTATTAACCTTTGCATGCAGTAATATTATTTTAAATCACTTGATGAAAACCCTCTGAAATAGGCGGACGTAACGAGGACTGTTATTGTCCGTAACTTAGCCTTATAATTAGGAGCTTAAACTCTGTTTACATGGTAAGATATTTTAATTAAAGTATTTTATATTTTCAGTAAATTAGTTTATGAATTGAATATTTGATATAAATTTCATTTAAATATTTAATGTGTGAATGGACGGTACGTAAGTTTTCATATTTATTGCAGATCACCATGTCATTAATGATATAACATTATAAAATACTTCATCAAATACCATCATGTCGATGGAAGATAAATAAAGTACATTGAACAGTTTTCCGGAGTTTTTCTTTTCCAAGAACTGTTAATTAAAAAAGTTACACCCTTGACAAGGATAACGATCATTTATTATGCTCAAAAGTCAAGCAATGAAACTATATAAATTGTGAACAGAGCAAACAGGCCTCGGAAATCATCAGAGGTGGATCAGGCGCCATGGAGTAGCAACCATATCCTGTCGACCGGTCAAACGAGCCGTGTGCTTTTGGCATTACCGGGTAGAAATCCGTCGTCAATTCAGTATGAAAATAATGGCCTCATGATTTGAAGCAGTATTTTAAACAAAAACTTGAAGTATGTAAGCATCTTTCACAACACGGGTAATTCGGTAACTAAGAATAAATTACATAAAAAATTCAATGCATGGATTGGTATATAATTTTTGACTGAATTTAAATAGAAATGGCGTAAATAAATTCCTAAAATATAAAGAAATCGTGGATATTCTTTGGTGTTCAACTATGCGACTTTGTGGCATTTTCTATATAAATCTATACAAATTTTTCCACACATTTTATGACATATTACAAAATTTTCAAAAATAACTTTGGCGATCATTATTCTAGTTATCTTCATGAACATAAACTATTACACTTATTGCTCATTTCTAATAAAAGTATGTTTTATCCTTAACAACAAATAAGGTTTCACTCTCTAAACTAGACGGTCTCATTGTTTGATGCAACCATTTTTGTATTGATACTGCCGGAGCACAGTACGGAAGCTATCGGAATTGTATATTTTCCAAAGCCTTGCATATAATTAATAAAATAATTAAATAGTACTTAAGAAGTGTTACCTTTGTTACGATATTTCTGTCATAAAGTTGATGGAATTCATCACAAAGAATTTCAAATAATTCTGTAGGGAAGTAGAGTACAACACAGAGAAACACAGCACCTAAAAATGTTTAAAGATCGATGACATGTTAAAGGTCATAAGAAACAGTTTTAAACACTAGGATTTTACTTTCTAAATATAGAGATTGGTATGAAAGAATGTCAAACTATGTTTAGAACATAAAATGCCTTTGCTTAATTGGGAAATGAAGGCGTAATTGCTACCTGCTTAAGGTTTTTGATTTTGTGGTTTGATGGAAGTCACAAAGACCCATAGGTGTAAATAACGCATTAAACCAGGTGTAATTTAAACGTATTTTATTGAGGTAATTTTAGCTTTTTTACATAGTTATAAATGTTATAATCTTTTCAGATGAACTATAAAGGTCGCCCGCGTGGCGTTTGCTCTAGAATCGCAGAGTAAGGAGTTGATCCTTACGTCGCGGGTTCGAATCCCACTGTGGGACGTGGAGACCTGTCCTTCGAATGAGACCGTATAAACCGAGGTCCCGTGTCGCAGTAGGTGCTGGCACGAAAAAGATCCCTCACTGTTCATTGGCCCTCAGTGCCTAGTACAGGTCAAAATTTGCAGCTCTCCACCGGCATGTGGTGGCGTCTCCATATGAGTGAAAAATACTCGAGAGGGACGTTAAACAACAATAAACAAACAAACAGATGAACTATCTGATTCTATAGTGCAGTCGACTCTGTTTGAACTAGTCGTTAATTAAGCACAGCAACTGAAAACGAGAGCTGTTAATCATGGGGTGATCTTGATGAATACTAGCCACAGGTACTTGTGGACAGGACCCCCCACCTCTTTTCCGAATATACACCCCGGATCAAAAAATATTTTTTATTTCTTTTTTCAAGAATTATTCTTTTAATACACATGTACAATGTATTCCATATGAAAAATCCAAAATATACCACAGAATTAACGTTTTATTAAAAAATCATACTCGAGGTATTATAAAATAAAGAAGGTAAGTCACTTCCATTTGTTAACACTGGACCCCTCTGGGATATCAGGCCTAAAATATCATTCACCTACTGCATGCCACCGAAACGTATCATGATATCTTGTTTCGGCAGATATTTTTGTCTTTAATCGTGGTATTTAATTGTCTAGGCATTTCACAGTAATCCGAGTATTCATCGTTAAACGTGAAAAATGCTAAAAGATTTGGAAATGTCAAAGTAGAAATTACGGAAGTGATGCAAAACTACACCTAGCGTGTAACTCGAGTTCCGAGTGTTATAGAATTAAAGGAAAAGCCATAGGTGTACGAAAAAGTTTTGGAAAATTTTGATAAAGATGTCGAAATTGATTCATTATAGAATTTAATTCTGCTTCAGATTTTCGAGATGAGTGAGGGTAGTCGACAATATTCCCTTCAAAGGATTTTATCACTGATACCAAGTAGCATAACATTATAAGACATGTAACACCCCCCCCCTTTTCAACATGGACATGCTTGTTTAATTTAATTCCGATAATATGAAGCTATATACGTATGTGTATTATTTTAGAATTTTTATGCAATGATTATCATTTGCCAAGAAATTTAAGTGTAATTTTTTTCAATATTAATTCTTTAGAATGAAAATCGGAACACTTTTTTATTTTCATTCTTTCGTTTACTCTAGCGTCGCACTGCCGAGTTTGTTTCTGGACTTGACTATATATATATATATATATATATATATATATATATATATATATATATATATATATATATATCAAGCTGCTAATAATTTTTGTTGAACACACGGAAGCTTAACTTTTATAAAATTTAAGACTTCTTAAAAATTTCTTTAAGTACGTCCTGTCTAACAGCCATGGTTTGATAATTGTCACTTGAAGTACGTAGCTTTTGACGACTAAATATTGCATGGGATATACAGCCATTCATCAAATGGTCAATTGTTTTCTCCAACTCTCTAATCTGTCCCCCCCTTCCTCCCTCCCCCAATTAAACAATATACATGTAGCGAGTCCAGAATTCATAGCAAATGGAAAATAACGATTTTTGTACAGTTTTAAATAATAATTCATGTCTTTATTGATTTTTAAAACTAATTTATCGTTCTAAATATTATATTCACTACAGCATTAATTTAACGGATATCCACCTTTCCGCAGACACTAGTTAATGAAAATTCCATGTCCACGCAGAAGGGAAAGGCGCACGGGGGGAGGGGGTGTTACATGTCTTACATGTATAATGTTTCTAATAGGCGATTTTTAAAACTCTATTTGGTATAAATGATGAAATCCTTTAAGGGAATATTGTCGACTACCCTCACTCATCTCGGAAATCTGAAGCAGAATTAAATTCTAATAAATCAATTTCGACTTCTTTATCAAAAATTTTCAAAACTTTTTCTTACACCTCTGGCTTTTCCCTTAATTCTATAACACTCGGAATTGGAGAGTTACACGCTAGGTGTCGTTTTTGCATCACTTCCGTAGTTTCCAAATCTTGTAGCATTTTTCACGTTTGACGATGAATACTCGGATTATTGTGAAATGCTTAGACAATTAAATAGCACGATTAAAGACAAAAATATCTGCCGAAACAAGATATCATGACACATTTTGGTGACATGCAGTAGGTAAATATTTTAGGCCTTATATCCCAGAGGGGTTCAGTGTTAACAAATGGAAGTGACTTCCCTTCTCTATTTTTATAATACCGCGGGTATGATTTTTAAATAAAACGTTAATTCTACGTTATTTTTTTGGATTTTTCATATGGAAAACATTGTAATTGTGTACTGTAAGAATAATTCATGAAAAAAGACATAAAAAATATTTTTTGACCCGGGGTGTATATTCGGACGGGGAGGGGGGTCCTGTCCTCAAGTACTTGTGATACTAGCAGCAGATCTGTAGCTCGCTGGTCTGAAAAAAAATTGGGATGGACGACCAGAGAGCTACAGTGCCACCCATTGAAAAAAGCGTGTATTTATTGCGCACAAAAAAGAGCGCTGTTTCCTGATTATTTCATAGTTTATATAAAAATATTACTAACCGTGTGTTCTTAACATATTCTTTTACTACTTCCACAACAAAACTGTATGCACAAGTCACGTATGATCGGAGCACGTTGGACAGAATTGTCTTGCCACCCAAGATGGCAGTGTAAATAGGAGAAAGAGGGTGTTGCAGTTCTTTTGTTATTTTCTCTAAAGTTGTAGCAGTTTAAAAGAAAGATTTAAGTAAAAGAAAACGGTCTTAATTTTTTTTTTCAGATACAACGGTATGTACAGCACAATGTAGAACAATATGTAGAAAATGAATATCGACTTCCAATTTGTAAATACGTCACATAGCAAAATAAGTCAAGTTTTCTCTTTTTCAAATAGGGAATCCCCATTGTTATGAAAAATTGCCTCCTTGAAACAGAATGAATTTGATATACGCATAAAGAGACAGGATTTTTCTTCAAAACTGCTATTTCCAATTTTTGTTTCAAAGAGGCATATTGTTGAAAATCACAAAAATCGAATAAAAATTGTTATCCATCCGAAATGCAAAATGTGCACATAAAATAACAGATGATACTTCATTGTCGGAGCTGGTCTAGTGGTAAAGCGTGTACCTCTATACAAAGATTCTTGAGAATGGGAGTTCGAATCCTGGAATGGCTGGCATATATATACATATTTTTTCTTATATAATGGAAGTACACTGTAACATCTCTCTTGAGAGAGAAAGACAGAGGAGAATGTCAGAAAGTTAATGGGTAATATTTTAAATGCATGCAGAATTAAATTGTTTTCCTTGATATTGTGATCTAAAACTACTAAGACATATATTTGATGTTATTATTTAGTGGCGATGTCTTAAAAAATGAAGTACTTTTACTTTTAATAATTTAATTTTTTTCATATGCATTTCGTTTCATTATTGTTCTGTTAATTAGTGGCTCAGATTTGAATTGGAACAAGTAAATTGAAATGACTCAATGGAATTTCTTGGATACTGCATCAACCGCGTGATTATTGGACACATTTTTATAAATTAAAAATATTAACGCACGCTGACTACAGTACATCTTTGAAAAAGATGTGCGAGGTGCACTTGCCATTAATTGTGCTTTTTATCGTTCTGACTTTTCTCGTGCAATATGGCGACAGTGACCATAGATGTGAAAAAAGTTTACTTACAGGTCGCCAGTCTATGTTACGGAAAAAAGTATGCATGAAATAAACGTAAAATGTAAAAATGTTTTGTTATAACAAGCTGGACATACCCGTCGTATAAATAAAGTCATTTACGTAGCATTACCTATATTTAGAGATAACTCCTCAGGCGTCGTGGGCATTTAAATGTCCTTATCGATTTAGGGAATAATCGCGAGTTTCTGCAACACTCTCTTTTCGATGGTCTGAATTTCAGACCAAGGAAGGCTATTTACAACGGCTTTGGGAAATGTTTTATTATGGAAGTAGTTTAAAAGAATATGTTAGGAACACACGGTTTGTAATATTTAAACTTAAATATACGAAGAATTAAATCGAGAAACAGCGCATTTTTTGTGCGCAATAAATATAGACTTTTTTCAATGGATGTCACTAGCCCTCTGGTCGTCCATCCGAATTTTTTCATACCAGATCTGCAGCTAGGTGAATACCCCATAGAAATCAAGATTTTCTCCACCAACTATGATTACTCATTCTAAATTAATACTTAAGAAACAAAATTCTTATTCTTGTATAATAATATATGATACGCGACAAAAGGATTAAAATACATGATGTTATAATATATTGATGCGCATTATGAAAATATGGTTTTTTTCTAAGTGAAACTGTAAAAATTACATCTAAGAATAGCTAAATATTAACATTAACCTGAAGCTTACAATACAAATTTTACTAGGCCTAATAAATTCTGTACAAAAAAGATGTAGGAACAACATGTGTTTGTGAAACACTATGCACCCTGCGGCAACAAAGTTCGTAAAAGCTATTTTTAGCATACAGGTCACAGTCAAGGTCACAAGGTCATTGACCTTGGTGTCATTTGAAAGAACTTAATGGAGTATGCATACCAAATATGAAGTCTCTCTCTCTCATGGTTCAAAAGTTATGGTGAAGGTTAAAGTTGACAACAGACAGACAAACAGACAGACAGGACAAAAACAATATGCGCCCTCGATCTATCGATCCGGGCGCATAAAAATACCCCCCCCTCCTTCAAATAATCATGGAGGTATTGAAGTTCATACTAAACGGGGTTTACGAAAAATGTCGGCGTCTTTGAACGCGCTCTTTCTGCCCGAGTTTATGACGACATCATCTTAATTCTGCTAAAACAAAAAAAAAAAAAAATGATTAAAAAAAAATACGGCCAAAAACATACCGGCATCACAAATATGTATATACATGCACCGTAATATTAAGGTGCAGATACTTGTCACAGTTTGGCTCAGCAATTGCAGTTTGAAAATAACTATACAGTTCGAGCACAAATTGATCAGTTAAAAAATTTATACCCCATTGTTCGTAAGACTGATATTAATCAATTTTTAATATTACTATTTTTACAGTCTTACACAAAATTTGAAAATCAGATCCTGTATATAGTCTCTGTTAAAATAAACTAATACAAATTTAAACAATTCAGTTTGTAAATATATACACACAGAAAAAGGAAGTGGGTTTAATGTCGGACTTTTGAAATTATTACTATGATAATAACTGTAAAAAGCGATTTTTATAAGAAAAAAAAATACGTGTATGCATTCGCTAAATTAAAAGAAAGATGTTTCACATATTTCCACTCTTTTTAAACCTAATGTTATTTTTTTATTATATTTACACTGTGCTTCGTGAAAATATTTAACGTCTTTTCTACTAAACCGCATCATTATCATATATGTATGCTTTGTCCGAGTTGTTGATTGAAAACTGTCTGGAAGTGTTTGGAAAATAAAAAGATTATTTCAAGGATTCTTACAAAAAACAAAAAGGGGGAAATTACGAGAGAGTGTGTGTGTGATTCTCTGAAGTGTCGAAAGGTGAGAATGATCCAACTGAAATTACACAGATAAAACATATTGAAATCTTACAAATATGCAATGGAATTTAAAAAAAAGTTCTAACTTATTTGAACATCGTGAGGTCTAGCCATGATTATGATATTTCTTAAAATTACGCTGCAAAATGACAATCTTTCGTATAAATGTAAGTACAGTAGTACACTGCACAGCGCTGGACAGCGACTGAGTCATACTAACGTCTTAAGCAAAGGGAGATAAGACACATCAGTTGAAGTTCATTTAATCAAGTACCGGTAACTTTGATCGACTCTAAATTACATAAGTGAACATATACCTAAAACTGTGAATAAATGATGATAATAAACATGAAGGTTATTGCAGAAACAGTGCGTTGCTTTTATATTTTACCAAGTCTTATCAGTCCTTTATTGCAATGAAAAGACAAAAAAAAACACATAACATTTTTTAAACAAGTTCAAAACCTTCAATTTTGTTTCATTTTTAATCACTGAAGTTCTCCACAAGTTTAATATCCAATAGACGAGCTCACTTTGCTTAGGATTATCTTCAGTATCAAATTATAGTGTTCCAAGAAACTATTAAGATTTTTTTGTACAATGTTTTTTTTCTCAAAATAATTTAAAAACAAAATATTTATAGTTTAAAATCAGTTTTTATCAAATGACAATGCTTGCATTTTTGTTATTTTATAGGCGTCTCTATATGAGTGAAAAAATCTCGAGAGGGACGTTAAACAACAAACAATCAATTAAATCTCATTTTATATGCAGTTTTCATTAATAATTGTTTAATTCGGATCGTTTGCTAATGTTCAAAATGAGTGTTTTTGTAAAAGGAAAGCCTATTGTAGAAGTTTATTATCGATAAGAATTTCAAAACTAGCGATACTTCTGCAACACAGAGTCCATTGTCTACTATTGAATCGCGTGGGGCAAAATATTGAAAAATGGAAAGGAATTCGGCAGAGGGAAAGAGCTGGTAGAGCTAGGAATGAAACCCTATTTTTCTACAGTTGGTGTTGTTTTAACTGAGCAAATATCCAAGCTTTGTTTGATATTTGAATGTTAGTTTACTAGGCCTACATCAACCAAACTCTTTTCCTTAACTGGTAATTATTTGATTGATTGATTTTATGTTGTTTTGCGTCCCGTTTGACTTCGAAATCTTTTCACTCATATAGAAAGATCACCAAATATATTTGTACCGATAAAGGGCTTCAAAAAATGTGCCGGCAATTTTCACTTTAAAGTGCCGACCGCTTGGTGAAGGAACAGTTGCTACCTATTTTTTATCGACTTAGGTCAGTCGCGACCGGGTTTGAACCCACGATCTTTCTATCGCGAAGAGCGCACTGTCGACTGAGCTACCTTGGCTGTAAAATGTATATGAGGAATTTGTAAAATATCTATCACTATATTGATCCGTCCAAACTGGAACGTATTAATTTCTGAGTGACAACAAAAACAATCGATATGATCAACGGATTCAACTTTTGTGTAGATTCCTTTTTTTTTTACATGACGACTTATAATCGCCCTCAAGACTTAGACGTTAAATCGCGAGAATATAAATTCGCCAATGCTCTTATGACGAAGACTTTTTAATGCACTCCAGCTTAAAAAGAATAAAAGCCAGTAATTTTATTTTTCGAGTGTTGACTATACATTAACGAATCTACAGTATATACTGATGCGTTTAGGGTGATTATTTTGCATTAGTTGTTAGAAGTTAGTCATAATTAATCTTGGGGTAGTTACTGGTTAGTTATGCCTTTTTAATAATACTAGATGGTACGTAGTTAGTTTTGAACACGTGACCAGGTATCAGTATCCCGATAGATGTTTAAATAAATTACACCTTATTTCTTAATTGTTCACATATCTTAAACGCTCCTTTGACTATTTAAATTATTATTTTAAATTTTATAATGTTCAACACCTTTCATTGGCGAGGTCTATTTTGGTCCAATTATCTCTTAACCGAAATATAATTGAATATTCCTGGAAGTCACTCCTTACTGGCTGTAAGCACTAAGCAGAATACGTGAAAAATATATGTTATGAAGAATCGAAGTGCTTTTCTCTTATTCTCATGAAAAAAAATTATTTGTAGGAATCATAATCTTTTGGCATTGGATTACCTTTTTTCATCTCTCGGGATCTCAAGGAGAGAAAATTCTTCCAATCTTGGGCGGCAGCTTTTTCTATAACTTCTTTGTTTTCAGACTTTCCAGGCAGGTAAATTAAATCCTTTTCGAGACGTATCGGCCTAAAAAAAATATGGAATTTTTTCTTTACTTCTCAATTAGAAAGTGCATCTTCGAATTCCGTAGGGAGAAATGAACCTATTTTGTGTATTATTTTGTTTTAGTTGAAAACTTGAAATGCTCTGTCTGAATATTCTCACTCATCTACGTATAATTTTGAAGGATTAACCATGATAAAATTGAAAATCTAAGGGGAAGTATTCAAAGTGTTTGCACAAAATGCGTGATGTCACAAAAATTAAGAGTGTTACTATTTCCGAGATCGCAAATAGATAAATGCTTAATTTTAGGAGTCGCATTACAAATGGGTTTATGCATAATATTAATGTGACCGTTTTATAAAGATGTACAAATACAGTTGTATAAGGTTTGATCATGTATTAGATTCCATTCCGCCGTATAATGTTAATCAAACAATCTATCAAACAGCCGTATAAGAAATAAAACACGATAGGTAATGACATAAAACAATATATTCCATTATATGTAGTCCTCATATGAGTCATTATCAAAATCCTCAAAATTTTTGGTCACACGCTGATAAAAAGATATAGGAAGTAAAAATTATATAAATTTATACATTTAGAATACATTATTCTGTAGTAGGAAGAATACTAATATTGTTGCTGCATGATATATTTGAAGAAAAAAAAATGCATTTATAAGCGTGTACGAGGGTAGTCATTTAAGTTCGTGGACAAGCTAATTAAATAAAAGTTGTGTTAAAGATATTTATTATCAGCATATTTATAATCCTTTACGAGGGTTGTCCAGTAAAATCGTGGACAAAGCGTTTTTCTCGTAAAATAATGGGCGCACTTAGCTGAAATTTTCAGCAAATCTTTATTTATCATATTTAAGTGCAGCTTATTTTTTTGATTAAATATGGACAAAAATAAAGATTTTATTATGCTTGAATGTGCACAGGGTACGGACCTACGGCGCACGATAAAAAAGGGTTTCATTAACGAATATTATTTCGAAATAAAAGTATTAAATAGAAAAGGTTGGGGTAAAGTTATCCTATTTTTAATCCACTACCTATTATGTCGTCTTCTGTAAAATTCCAAGGCATTTGCTTAATTTTTGGCAGTTTCCCAAGCATTTGAAATGGGAAAGTTGTAAACGCAACACATGAAAATGACGTTACGGCGCAACGGAGAGTAGTTTAGTTTGCCATAGATGTAGTAATGCCTCCTAAAGGAAATTTAATTAACTACAGAAGAAAAAAATTCGAAAATATCACTAGATCTTTAGTATACAAATGAAATGGGAGTTTTCTAAGCAGAAGCTTTTTTTGATCGGGTCCTCTAGAAGAATAAGAAGCTGTCACTGCAGACCGTCGATATAGGAAAGCCTATTTAGTTGAATGATAGTGAGAATACTGACCATAACTTACTAGTAAATCTTCAGAAGGTCCCATGTGTGTGCAAGATTGGTTCCTCGACTGTTTATGGAGGAATAAAGGGAAACTCAAGTATGTGCATCAATGGAATCCCCGACTTTGAGTGGGTTTTATCCAGCTTTTTTTTTTTAGCAAAGAAGAAACGTGAAGCTGCTTTAGACACTTTGACGTTATCATCCGTGCGCCGTACGGCGATACAACACATAACGTAGTCTCATATTTTGTTTATTTGAGCATATGTCTATTTGAAATTTGTATATTGATAAAATTTGTATATTGATGAAAAATGTCCTAAAAGGTAGTGAACATTTTACAACGCAGTGATGACTATTTTTCACTCTAGACAACTTGTCCACGATTTTACCGGACAACCCTCGTACTGTATGTGAATTAAAAAAATTAAAATTTTATTAAATTTTAAACGTATAATTTTAATTATGACTTCATTATTAGACGTTGGATGGTGAGCACGGCAAAGTTTTAATTAAAAAAAAGTTATTTATCACTTTATATATTTTATTTGTATTTTGTAATATTCCGCGGAAATTTGGATGACTTTACATAATGACGTTGAAAAAAATTATAACGTCAAACCTGCAAAATTTGAACGTCCAAAGTTTCGAAATGGCAGAGAAATTGAGGTTAGAATCTATCAAGACAGGATCGATATTGTTCGAAAAAGGAACGTTTCGGGAAAAGGTGGATCAGAGAGCAGGGATGAAATTTTGTGTAGACATTGGAAAAACACCAACAGAGACCCATAAATACCTTAAACAGTCGGGAAAATATACTAAAGTAAGCCGATCTTCAGTGTTAAAGTGGCACAGAAGATTTTAGGACGGAAGGGACAGTTTAGAGGATGACATACGTAAAGGAAAAACCATCATTCCAAGATTGCAGTGCTGTAAAAAATAAAATTCGTGATCATGACGTGATTGACAGTGATCGGCGACTATCAGTTCGAGAAACTGCAAGAAACTGTGGAATATGGTTCAAGAAATTTTAACTCAAGATCCAGGGTTCGACACTAACATTTTTAGGCTTTAGTCCGGCCGGACTAGTGCTTCTTTACTTTTACTAGTCCGCACGCAATTTTATGAGTCCGTCAAAAAAAACATCAATGTTTTGTAACGGTTAATCCAAAAATAAGATTGCAATGTACTTTTTATAATTTTTTGAAATAAATAAAGCATTTACTTGAAATGCTTTACTCAAAGATTCGTTGAAATCTCGCGATCAGGAACTGCGATCGTACTTCCGATCTCGTTCGTTTTTCTCTATACGTCCGACATCTTCTGACATCTTTCTTTATGTGTCATACTAAAACATGATCGCTGAAATGTTTTATTTCATATCAATCAGCCTTCAAACTGAGCGCCGAATTGACTCGAAATTACCTAACTTCCCGCCAAGAAGCTAGAAAGCTAAAAATACATGCGGGGTTTTCAAGTGAAAGTTGTCGAGAATCGAACATTGCATCGGTAATTTATTGATTTTTTCCAGAAATTTCTAATTAGCCATAGATTTTATTAGTCCGAATGAAAATGTATTAGTCCGAGACTAACGGACTAACTTTAATGTCGAACCCTGTGATCTTAATATGAGTCGTGTCTGTGCTCGGTAGGTGCCTAGAGTTCTGACAATTAAAATTTTGTCGAAGAGAGTAGAATTGTCAAGACTGTTCATTAAAAAAAAAATAAAGGCGGTGCAAGGTTTTTGGAGAGAATTATTACAACCGACGAAAGCTGGTTCCACTACTATGATCCTGAAACAAAACAACAGTCAAGTAAAAAAAAAATGTGAACTCTCCTAAACCGAAAAAGCCAATAACAAAATCCCTTGAAAAGAATATGTCATTCATGACCGGAGGCTGTGTCTTAAGCATCCTCCTTACAGCCCGGATTTAGCCCCTATTGACTTTGCCGTATTTCCGTACATAAAGTCGTTTTTATGTGGACAGAGGTTTGATGATTTGCAGGATCTGAGACGGGAAGTGTTAAATATTTCTCGAATGAAACCAGAACAGTTTGTGCACATTTTGATGATTGGTTATAGCGACATAAGAAATGTGTTGAGTCAAATGTGACTACGTTGAAAAGATTAAACGTAGTTAGCTTTGACGTCGGGTAACATCAATGATTTTCATTCTAGTGCTCCGGCTATGAGTGTGTGTCTTCTTTTTTATCTGATAAAAATCTAACTAATTTATGCTTAGTGTGTGATAATATTAATGAAATGAAACATGAACTTAATGAATATAAAATTTTCATATATTTTATCTATGTTTGTTAGTTATTATCATGGTTGTTCACGAACTTTACGGACAACCCTCGTATATAAGCATATTTTGCGATGTCCTACACTCCTTTGCGTTGAATTTGCAAGTGTTTAATAGCCAAATCCAGTAAATTATTTCTCATTTTTTCCTTGTATGCCTTAATATTGCCATATATTCGAATTTGATGGGTTTGAATATAAAAAATAGGAACACTTCTAGTATGCCCCAAAATACGGCGCTAAAATATATGCCGCCGAAGGCGGTGTAGTATACATTATACGATCGCGTGACCTTATCAGCAAACACAATTTATCATTGAGTCAAATGCTGACTGACGTTTTCCATACTACATGTAATTGTTAGGCCATTATTTACACACTGAATTGTCGACGGATTTTTCCGCTATTTCCCGATGATGACAAGGAGCACACGGCGGGTGTGACCGGTCGGCAGGGGATGCTCACTACTCCATGGCACCTGATCCCACCTCTGATGTTTGGAGGTCCGTGATTGCTCTGCTCCTATTTTGTATTGTTTAATGGACTTTTGAGCTTGAATAATGTTCGTTATCTCCATATATTTCATTGTAAATATTTAAAAGTACACAAGTTTAATGATGAGCGACTGCATTTATTAAAAAAAGATTAATTATGGCTCTATCAAATACATGTAATAACATACGTGGATAGCCAGTGCACCATGAATGAGCAAACACCAATGTCAATACTGGATTCCGGAAGGCAGCGGCCATATGCATTGCTAGGATTGATGAAAATTCGGAGGAGAGGATCATTCATTTCTTCTTTGAAAACTAAAACAGCAAATATGTATTTTTTTCAGCTTAAAAAAAATCAAATATAAAAAAACAATTAAATATAACAAATCTCACATTATAAAAAACAAATAAATAACATTGCAAGCCAAACGTAAAATCATTTTCATTATCCGAATCCAAATACCACAAACAGGGCAGTGAGGTTTTCGGAATTTCTATTTTTCAGCTTTAGAAGTTGAAAATATTGTTTGTTTCTACGTACTGAAAAGGCTACTTTAAAAATTCTCAAATTGCAAATATAATTTGGAGATATTTTTAAAAAATGCCGGTCAAACTTGCATCTGACTTGATTTTGTAAGGTATTTAATTAAACAAGTGTTTAGCAGAATAATCATCAGATAAAACATGTATACGACAAGATAAGGAGAACCTGTAATAGTTTTGACCAAAGCGTTGAAATCGTTGGTTTTTTGATCGTTGAAAAACACAGCAATTTCTCCAGATATTGACTTTGCTCTAATTTGACCTGGAAAAAAATCGACTAAAAATGTATAAAATCACAGTCTCAATCAGATTTAAACTCGGTATTGTTTTATGTTGCCTTATACATTGTAATTGTAGCAAGACATGCTGAAATACAAAATTGAAATATTTATATTTTGAAGGCGGAAGGTTCTTCTTCACAACAGCAGAGTTCGTGATTAATACCTTAGAGTGTGTAAATAAAGCGTATTTTCAAAATATCTATAGGATTTAAGTTTACATACCTTGAACATTATGAGTCCCCGTATGTAGAGAGTTAATGTATTTTGGGCGTAGGGTGTACGTTTATATGTAATTTCACGTATATTCAATAAGGCACCGTCCTAACCCCTGATTCAAGAGCTAACAATTTCTCAATTTATAAATAGTGGCACCTTTGCCCACCATAAACCATGAACTGATTCATCTTTTCATTTATATGGAGGAGGGGGAAGAAATAGGCTTTAAAAATGTATGCTTGTTCACTAGGTCATCGATGAGCCCAACATTAGAGACCCTGACCCTGGGACCTGGAATTTTACAATTTTGAAAGAGGGCTCAATGATTATTGGTTAGCTATATAATCATTAAAACCTCGCCCTTACACAAGAACCCATGACCCAGGGGTCATGAAATTCACAATTTTGGAAGAGGCATTCTTCCTTCTCATATCTGAGTACTTAGTTCATCAGCTTAATAACCAGGAGCAGAGGAAAAGATTTTTATAGAATTAATGCATTTTACTATATGATCATTAGAGTCTCGCCCTAGCGACAGAATCCGTCACCCCGGGGCCATGAATTTCACAACTTTGGTAGAGGGTTCAATGCTTATTATCATAATCATGCACACAGTTTCACGGCTTGATGTCCAGGAGTAATGAAGAGATTTTTAAATATTGCATTAGTTTTGGTGGTTTTAGCACCACCCTTAGGCCACTGTGTGTTAATTACCATGAAATTCAAAATTTTTGTTCCCCTTCACCAATAGATGCTATATGTCAAACTTTGTTGAAATTGGTTCAGCAGTTTCAGAGTAGAAGCTTAAAATGTTTAATTGTTAACGCAAGTCGCATGACGACGAACAAAAATGGATAGCAATTAGTCACGTAAATGACTCAGGTGACCTTAAAATCGGAGAGGGCTACATTATTGCAGCTTCTTACTGGTCGACAAGTGATGGTTACTTCTCTTAAGGTTTTACCAAAGGTCAACATGTCCAAAAATTTATTTTTACAATAGCTCCAAAACTGTGTGATTTATAAAGTTAAAACTTTTACAGTAAATAAATATATCATTGATGAACAGATAGAAAGTATCACTTGATTACAAAAACTTTTAAAAAATATTTATCGAGAAAAATTCTTTTTAAAAAAATGCATACATTTTAAAAAAATACACCTAATTAATTCCGTACTTTTAGTGAAAGCCATCATTGCAGAAACAATATATGTTTATCAATGAAAGGCAAGTTGGACTTCGATAGCCTCTGAAAAGTTGTTTTCCCTGTTTATTTTGTCCAAATGTTAAGATTTGAAACCGAAAGTACATTGCACATGGTGGATTTTATAGGGGTCTTGTCTTTATACATGTCATGCTTTCAATGACAGCCTTTCAGAGACCATTCACGTCCAACTTGCCCTTCATTGATAACCATATATAATTTCTGCAATGATGGTTTTCACTCAAAGTACAGAATTAAGGAGGTGCATTTTTTTTAAAATACGCAAATTTTTTGATTTTTTTTTCTCAAAATTTTTTTTATTTAAATATTTGTTTTCAAGTGATACTTTCTATCTGTTAATCAATGATATATTTATAAACTGTAAAAGTTTTAACGTTATACCTCACATAGTTTTGGAGCTATTGTAAAAATAAATTTTTGGACATTTTGGCAAAACCTTAACCTCCTGATGCTACCTCTGGAATTTCCAGGATTCCGTGTTTTATTTCATGTTCACCGATTCGTATTGTTCGTAGATTTTTGAGATCGATCACTCGAGTGGTAAAGATTTTTAAGATCGCATTAATTTTTATGAATATGACCACACCGAGGTACATGTAGATTCAAATAAAATTCACATTTTATGGCTGTCATACTAGCTCAGTCGGTAGAGCGCTCACTCCGTGATCGGAAGTTCGTTTGTTCGAATAAGGGCCGCAACTGACCTAAGTCGAGAAAAATAGGTAGTAACTGTTACTCCGTCAAGCGATCGGCACTTTGAAGTGAAAGTTGTGGGTCTTTCGGATGAGACCTTAAAAACCGAGGCCCCGTGTCACTATAGGCATTAGCACGATAAAGAACCTCACTGCTCAATGGCCCTGAGTGCCGAGTAAAGGTCTAAATTTGAAGCCCTTCAACGGTATATGGTGACGTGTCTGTATCACACCTGGGGTCAATGACTTTGAAATGTAAAGCATTTAATTACAATTATTTGGAATTTTACCATTACAATTACCATTACCATTACTCTTATTCAGAAAAGTATTTAATCAAATTACAATTACTTTGTTAAAGTAATGAATTACATTACACATTACGAGAAAGACAGAAAAAAGTATCTATAAATTAACTTTCTCACACTTTGTGCTCGGTCAATATGCTTCATTTAGTTTACCAAATAATCTACACTTAACAGAGAAAGTGGATAGGAACACTTTTGTCCAGTCTCTGGTGATAGTTCCTCTGTATTTTTTTTAAACAAGTGATAAAAATTTCATAGTATAAGTCTTTAGTAATCATATTTAATTAACTGATCAGATAACGCTATAGATGTAAAAAATGAGAATGTATTAATAATTTTATGAATTAGTACCTGTAATTAGCTAGGCAGGCATAATTAATCAAGTTATAGATTTAACACAATCAATGGTGATAATGACCGGTACCTAGATAAAAGGTTTAAAGATGGAAGTGACTCTCAAGCTACCAAAAATAAATGATGGACAATATCAATATTGACATCTGGACTTAGTTTCCCCTTGTGTCAAGTAGAACAGATTGATCTTGTATCTTGCTAGGATGAACTTTGTGAAAAGAAAAAAAAAATAAGTTGAAAAATATAGTTTGATTTTAATTGGTAGTCACTGTATACATGTACTGTCAATTGTTATATGGCTTTCTTTAAAACCAATGATTTCTTTTTAAATGTTTTTCTACTCTCTTCAATTGATTTAATAACTGTCTTATCAAGAAGTTTTCTATTAAACCAATTATTCAATATGTCTATCAATCACCATTGAATAAACATGTTTCTAATGGTAAGATATAAGATTTTAATTTTAAGACTTTAACATTATAAATAAAAAGTATCCTCTCAGTGACCTTCACTTGTTTCAGATTCAATAATAAAAAGAGTTTTAAATACATAATGTAATTGAAATGTAATTGAAAAGTAATGATCATTTATGACATTTTATGAATTCAAAGTAATGCATTACATTACAATTACTTGTAACTGAACGATGGATCCATAACAAAAAACATTCCATTACTAAAAAAATGTGATGATTACAATGCATTACCATAGGTCTGCTTTGTTTGAGTGAAAGACTTTTATTGGAATTAATTTATATATAAACACATTTTTAAAGGTTTAACAATTGTTATTACTTCGTTTTGTTCGAGTTTGTTTAATTATTGAGAATTGACTGAGTAAAAGAAAATAAAAATCCCTACCAATAAGAATTTTCAGGAATGGAGTAATAACTTGTCCGTCGCACGTCCCGAAGTCCACTATGTTAACGGGTTGATCACAATGTTCATTAAAACCTGAAAAGTTGAAGGAATAGAGTCTAATAAGTTTCGTTCGTAAGTTTGGCATTTGCTAGAATTTTGAAACTGTTTAAATGATTTTCCCCCTTGTGTATATTTGTTTGAATCAAATTTTACTTGTATGTCAGAATTTCGTAAGGTGCTACTCACTTAAAAATTTTATCACAGGCTCCAAACAGGGTTCAAGAATTTGATGAAAATGATCCGAAAACACAAATGTTTCGTCTGGCAATCTTTTATATTCCATTGTGTTACTCTCGTTCAGGTGTAAAGACAGAGTGTATTAATTATTCAGGGCGTCGATTGTTTTAAAGGTACAAACAAGGGGTTATCAAAAAGTTCATGAACTGGTGCCATAATATTATAATTATGTAAGCTTTGTCTGCTTTAAAAATTTATAAGAATTGCAAAACAACATCTTTAAAAGTTTCCAATTAACGTCCATAAGACGGACTTAAAATTTAAAGTGTTAAAAATAAAATTGATCTATGTATTTCTCATCAAAATTGCTCTAATTATTCACTTCTAAACTTTACAGTAAAAATCAGTTTCTTGTAAATACTCCAAAATTGTTTAAACATTAACATTTGTAAAAACTTCATACATCGTTCTAACATTACCAAAAAGTCTACCTCGAATAGGCGTAAAATCGGAACTCTCCTAAAGAATATGACTTATAGTTATCGGACAGTCACAGGATATACATTCTGGTTGAGACTCCCGATTCAGTAAGTATTCATGTGTAATTTAATTTTTGAATGACCAATACGTTCAGTCCCTGAAATGTTCTACTTTCCCATTCTTCCGTTCGCTCACCTTTCGTTCAGCCTGCGTTCACCGTTCGTCCAGCATGCGTTTACCGTTCGCTCTCCGTTCACAGTTACGCATTTAGCATTCACCGTGCGCTCGCGTTCACCGTTTGTTCACTTTGCGATAACCTTGCGTTCACCGTTCACTTATCGTTCAGTCTACTTAAAACATGATTGTGACGTAAACTTTGTGTTTTGTGTTGTCCATTCTATAGCTTAATGTTGAGCTAACTCCTCAAACAATCCATTAAGTTACCCGTAAGTATCCATTCTTTTTGGAAAACTGTCCATTCCTTTAAGAATGGCGTTTTATTTAAAAAAGAATGGACAGTGAAAACAAACGGACTGGGGAATTACAGGAAAACTATGAATGTGTTCAAGAGGGAAACAAAAACAAATACATTAAAAACTTTTCAATTTACATGTAAATAACTAAAAGAATGCGGAAATCAAAGTTAATCCAGAACACAATGTCTGCACAGCATCCACTAGATTTTACTCTTTTAAATCCATGAATGATGCACATTATTTCAACACCCAAAACTTAATTTTCACAAAACTTGAATTCAAATGACAGAATTTCACATTTGATTTAAATTTCGGGAAAATAATTTCCTCGAGGAGAATTCATTTTCAGAGGGAAGTGCGTCTAATATTTAATCCTCCACCCAGAAAACAGTTTGCACCATGAACGCTACACTGCTGCAGTGAATATTTCGGTAGAAAATAAATGAAAATGAAACATTTCCAGATTTGATTTGAAAAACATTTCAGGTAGAAGATTTGCTCATGGCTAATCCAACACTCAGAACACAATTTGCATCTCACCATTACACTGCTGCAGTTAATATATCCTCAAAAAATAGAATTCAAATAAAACATTTTCCGGTTTGATTTGAATTTGATATGTATTTGTCGTCGAAGTTCATTTTTGGGTCAAAATTTGGCTAATATTTCTTTTACTCTTACTTTCAAAAAGTATATTCATTTAGTACAATGCTACAAGATTAAATTAAAATACGGCATTATACATGTACGGATACGGTGCTGCAACGTCAAAGACCACAAATCATTTATACTAGAGAGATGATAACCTAGGTCGCTTTATTTACCGACTGCTGAATAATTACTAAGATATTCATTAATAACACGTTTTTTTCTCATTTACTATAGAAATACATGTACATGTTACAACTATTTCTGAAAATTATAGAAAGTTTTACGGATTAATTATAAATATCTACGGAGCGATGTACATTGATAGTACGCTTAAAAATTTAGTTATTTAATTGCAATGCACTTAAAAAAATAAAACAGCAAGTTCAAGTTTTTGGTGGAGCTGGAAGGGTATAAGTTTTTTTTTCTTTACAAATATAATCAAGGTCTATTGCAAGAGATGAAAAAAAAATCCTTCATCACTGGAACTATATATAAGTTAACCACTTAATATAGTTAAGAGCCCCCCCCCCCTTCCTCCTTTCCTGAATCTGCCACTTCGTCAGTATTTGCAATAAATTTTAGCTCACATTAAAAAGGAAGTCAATGCTTTTTGTGACATCAAAATTTCAGTTTCAGTTTATAAACGTTCTTGCATCTAAGATGTCATTAAGCAATGGTGGTCCAAATACACCTGTCGACGGTGGTATTTGAATTAGCAAGGATCGCATTCATGCAGCTTAATTATTCCAAGTGTTTATCTCCAATGCACTTTATTTATTTATTAAATAATTAATTTATTCATTGAGCAATGTTTGAATCAGATCTAGAAACTATCAAAAAAGTGTTTAAACTCCTTGGGAACACTAGAACATTGTCTTTGGTGTGACGAGACTTTTACAGCAGCACAGTGTCAAATGACATTGATTGACAAGACTTCGTGTGAATTTGAAGCAGAAAAAAAATTCTGGCTGCCAAACAAATTGTTTTGTTGATAAAAAATGTTTTTTCACTGCCTGTTATATTAAAAAAATAATACTTAGGAATATTTGCTTGATACAGGTACATGCATATGGGGAGGGGCGGCCAAGACGGAATCTCTCTCTCTTCTCTCTCTGTATAATTTGTCTGTTTATATATAAATATGACAGCATAGTACATGTACTAAAATATCAATTACTGAAATTCAAATCTATAACAAATAATATGAATGCGTCCTTGTGTCCTCTTGTCTACATGTCATGACGGGGGAGGGGGGTGTGTCTAAAGTAAATGTCAAATAAATATAAAATTGCATGAAAATTTTAGAACGCATTTGTATTTATGTAGCACATACACAGACCTTTGTAAAAATATTTTTAATTGTGAATTTTTAAAAAATTATTTAACACGGAATCGCCTCTGTGTGGAAACACGTTTCCTTGTAATTTTCTCTACTTTGACTACAGGGTTATGTATTAGCAACAATGTTTAACAGCGATAAATTGTTTGTGACTAAACAGCTTAACATAAAATATATGTGCAGAAGATTCTGTAAGAAACACAATTAGTTGGCGCACTTAATGTGCATGTATCATTTTCTTACGATAATGAGGGAACGTTTATTTTTTATTTATTTATTTGATAGTTTGTTTATTTATTTGTTTTTCTGGAAGTGTTAACAACTTTTATATGGTATGCTAATGTCAGCACTCAAACATTAATTTATTAAGGAGATGTATTGATCTTCTTCCACCTAACAATAAAGTAAAATAAAATGCATATAATGCAAGGGAAAGATCGGAGACATTCCGAATAGACCGTTCATCTTGCGTTCACCGTTCGTTCACTTTGCGCTTAGATGCACTACAGGAGAAGTTCGAAAAGCTCCTGAGCACAGTTGAAGGCCTTGAAGATGTATTGCATCAAGAGCTTTTACGTATGAAGTTCTTGCAGAGCTATGCACAATACTGCCGTAATCTAACTTGGATTTCTCCAAAGAGCGATAGAGTTTTAAAAGAGTAGTTTTATCCCCCCCCCCCTCATTTTGTATTTGCAACAACTCTAGGAACATCTAAAACCTTTGTACATTTTTCTTTTAGCATTTTGATATGCAATACCAAAGAGAGTTTACTATCAAAGATGATACCTAAAAACTTTATCTCTTTAACTTTTACCTTTACAGAATGTAAATCCATTAACATCAGCCAATTTTGAATTTTATTTCGACAAAACTGTAATTTTCGCTCAATATAATTCATATTTTTGGATTTATTACAAAGATCAACTTCATCAACATATAAACTTCCATGCATATCATTTTTAGAACTTATGCTAAGCTGTTAATTTTTATTCTGAATAAAGTGACTGATAAAATACTACCTTGTGGCACGCCTATTTCCTGTTTAAAACTTTCCAAATAAATAGACCCCAAGCGCACTGAAGTAATGTGCATCATTCATGGAATTTTAAGTGTAAAATCGAGCGGAAGCTATGCAGACATTGTGTTCTGGATTAACTTAGATCTCTACGTTCTTTTTTTTTAGTTACATGTAAATTAAAGCGTATTTAATGTATTTGTTCTTGTTTCCCTCTTGGGCACATTCCAAAATTTACCTGAAACTCTCCATTCTGTTTGTTTTAACTGTCCATTCTCTTTGAAAAAAATGGCCATTCTTAAAAAGAAGGGAGAGTTTTAAAGAAAAAAAAAAGATTGGACACTTACAGGTAACTTAATGGATAGTTTGAAGAGTTAGCTCAACATTGAGCTATAGAATTGAACACAAACAAAAGGTTTACGTCACAATCACGTTTTAAAACCAAGTAATATTGACAATTTCGTCTGTCTCTCCCGCCTGTTTAAACATTTCCAAGATTTGTGCCATTTTTCTGAAGTTAAACTTTCTATATTTTACGGGAAACGACCGTAATCTATAGAAAGTTTAACATTCTTACCCCCAGCCCGTTGTCGTTATTAACCCCTAGTTTCCTTTGGCATTATATATAGAATTTACGATAACATTTAATAGAACTCCAAAAATAATGTAAATATTGCAAACTTTACATTTGCTATGCATCAAAGGAGTAAAATCTTTACATTATAATTGTATTTCAAATGCTAATATCAAAAGATTTGTTGCCATTAGACTCATAATAGATATACGTTGTATTTTGAGGTTGTGTTCATAACATTGCTTACAATTTATTCATATCTAAAACATATGACTAAATTATGTATTACAGAATATGTCTAACAAAATGTAAACTTCAAATCCCTGACAGTAAACTGTTCCCTTATCCGCCTTCTCAAGGCCGTAACTAGGCTCAAAGTTTTAGTGAGGCAAGGGATCTGAGAGTCATCCGAGTCCCAAGCGGGTCCAGGGTAGTGTCCTATAGGTTCTCGGGGGAGCAGAGGGGGAAGGGTGAGTTCCAGAAACCGGGAATTTAGTAAATTAAAGACTTAAATCTTTGAAAATTTTCATGTTTTGTTATTTTTTTTACATGCCTTCTAAACGATAATGGA